AAAGCAGCCTAGAATCCAGAATTGGGCACAAGGGTGCCTAGTATTGCTCCACAGGTGGAAAAGGGGACCCCTTATGCTCAGAGAGTGCAGGCAAATCCCTGTTCTTCTTTTCTCCATCCTGTCATGCTTCAGCCCCCAAAGGGTTTAGTAGTAACAGGAGGGGCAGGGGCATGGCGGGGGGAGGTTGATAGTGGAGGGCCTCAGTCACTCAAAACTTTGAGAAAGGGGTCTTTCCTTTTGGATTGAAGGAGTTGCAGGCTCCAGAGGATGGAGAAAACTCTCATAGCTTTTTCTCTCACCAGGCCTTCCTGCTACTTGGCCCCCAAAAGAGCGTGCATAGCAAAGCAGGGGGATTAAAGTCCCAGTTCTCTGGCCAGAGGACTGTAAAAAGGAGCCCCAGAAATCTAGAAGAAGCCAGGGAACTGAGGAGAGGGAAGAGCTCGGAGAACAACCATAAAGTCGTTTAGAGCTCCTGGGCTCATCCCTGAGCTGCGCCTGGGGATCTGACCCTAATCAGCATGCCTTCTGCTGTTTGAGCTGAAGGCCAGGGTGGACCAAGGCCTCCATCCCAGAAGGCCACTGGGGGGTGACATGGGCAGCTGAACGGCACTGAGCCGTCGGAGGACAGTCTGCGGGGGAAGGAATGTGAGGTCTGAGCTGAACCACACAGATCACCTACTCTGTCAGTCATCAACGTACTGCCTCTCAGCTCTGAACGTAGCCTTCAACATCTGTACTGTCTGACACACAGCACTGTTCCTTGAAGTACTAGTCCTTTAAAGCGAACTCCACGTTAGACTTTCTCAGGGGAGAGCCCTGGAGGGACAGCGCGGTGGGAGGAGGTCCCCTGCCTTTTCCAGTGTGGGCGGGAGGGGGCGGTCGGGGGCACGGCTACTGGAACTGGCCCCAGCCCCTGGCCCAGAACCTGGTCCTTTGCAACCGGACAGCCCTGGCTAACAAGAACTTTTCTGCAGTCCTTTCCACCTGGAAAACAGAGCCCTCATGGAGCCCCTGTGCTCTGAAGGCTTCCTGCGACCCTGGACCCCCACTGCATATGTCCACAACCCTGGTGGCTGGTCACGTGGCCTTCCATCGGGCTCTGGGCGGGGGGTGGGGGGTGGGCGCTATGAGTTGCCCAGTGAGCCAGACCAGCCTGACCAAACCAGAGGACTTCCCTGCTGTCTGCTGGGCTGAGCCGCAACTTCTCAAACGAGGTTGGAAGACGTTCCAAGTTTGTCCTTTCTGGGGTCCTCTCCCTCTGCCCTCGGGTGTGAATGGAAAGATAAAAGGATCAGCAACAAGTAGAAGGTATAAAGAACCAAAGGGCAACTTTAGAAATAAAATAGACAATCATTGAAATAAAAGCACTCCCTGGATAGATTCATAAACATAACGGAGATGATCTAGGGAAGGGGTGGGACATTTGAAGATGGATTGCTGAATATTACCAATCTGAAAAAAGAGAGGAAAAGAGACTTCTAAAAAAGTGAGCAGACTCAGGAACCTCCCGACCAGAGGAGCTGGCAAATCCCACACAGGATAAACCCAAAGAAATCCATGCCCAGATTCGTCATAATTAAACAGGAAAACCAAAGACAAGGAACAGTTCTCAATAAGTCGTGAGAGAACCATGATGCGTCACCTCGATGAGACTTATGGTTCCAACAACTGCACATTTCTCGTGGGAAACCATGGAGGCCAGAAGAAACAGGCAGTGTCTATAAAGTGCTGAGCAAAAAGAATGAACTCGGGATTCTCTATCCAGCAAAAACAATCTTCAGGAGTGAAGGTGAAAAAAAAAAGGGAAAAAAAAGGAAAAGAAAAAAAAGGAGTGAAGGTGAAAAAAAGATATTCAGGCGAAGGGGAACAGAGCATTTGTCAGCCGATGTCCTCTGTCTGAGGGGACTGTTAAGGGGAGTTGTTTAGGCAGAAGGGATATGCTACCAGAGGGGACATGGGACAACAGGAATGAAGGAGGAGCCACAGATATGATACATACCAGGGTAGACGTGATGGGCTAGCGTCCTCCTCGTGAGTTCTTTCAAAACATTTCATGACTGGGAAGCCCAAAATAGAACACTGACAGGTTCAGTGCATGGGACAACGGCAGCACGGAGGCGAGAGCCTAGGGGACCTCGGTGGTAGTAAGGTTTCCACGTCTCACTCCAAGTGCTTAAAATATTGTTTCTGATGGACTATGAGAAGTGAAGCCGGAAGCCTATTCTCCCTAGGGCAACCACGAAAAAGAAAAGACTACACGGAGAAACATAGTCCAAAACACAATAGAGAAAATAAATTGAATACTAAAAAAATGTTCAGATAAACGCAAAGGAAGACTTGAACGTGTAAAGAGGAAAACAAAAGAGGAGTGAAGCAGAATATAGGTAATAAGTGAATTTAGACCTAAATGCAAAGTATCAGTAATTATGTTAAATGTAAATTGCCCAAATACACCAATTAAAAGACATTATTGGAGTGTGTGAAATAAATGATCCAACAAGATTCTGTCAACAGGGGCGCCTGGCTGGATCAGTCAGTGTGAGATGCGACTGCTGATCTCAGGGTTCTGAGTTCAAGCTCCACGTTGGGCGTGGAGCCTACTTAAAAAAAAAAAAAAGGTTCTGTCTACAAAATCAAATATAACCATACACTTAGGTTAAAAGTAAAAGGAAGGAGTTGAAAAAGTTTTGCAAATTATTTATTTATTTATTTATTTATTTATTTATTTATTCATGAAAGTCAGAGAGAGAGAGAGAGGCAGAGGCAGGGGGAGAAGCAGGCTCCCCGCCTAGCAGGAAGCCCGATGCGGGACTTGATCCCAGAACCCTGGGATCATGAGCTGAGCCGAAGGCAGACGCTTAACCATCTGAGCCACCCAGGCGCCCCTGCAAATCATTTATTTGATGAAGGACCTGTGCTTAGGATATATAAAGAATTATTACAAGTCAACAATAAAAAGGCAAATGGCCCAATTTAAAATTTGGCAAAGGATCTGAACAGACATTTCTCCCAAGAAGGTATAAAAATGGTCTGGGGCACCTGGGTGGCTCAGTCATTAAGCATCTGCCCTTGGCTCAGGTCATGATCCCGGGGTCCTGGGATCGAGCCCCGCATTGGGCTCCCTGCTCCGCAGGAGGCCTGCTTCTCCCTCTCCCACTCCCCCTGCTTGTGTTCCCTCTCTTGCTATGTCTCTCTGTGTCAAATAAATAAATAAAATCTTAAAAAAAATAATAAAAAAATAAAATTTAAAAATGCCTTTAAAAAAATAAATAAAATCTTAAAAAAAATAGTCGATAAGCACGTAAAAAGATGTTCAGTCAACATCATTAGCTGTCAGGGAAATGCAAATCAAAACTACTAGACGCACCCCTTACACCTTTGTCAGAAATCTCCTTTAGGTAAAAGAATTTTAAGGGAGACAAAAGACAGTCCCAGATGTCAGAAATGAAGGGAAAGATGGAAGTAAATCGGGGCCAGCATTTTCAGCTCGTTAGACGAAAACGAGGGCTCTCCAGCATTCCACTGCACAGACAGAAGCCAGCTCTCCCACTCAGCCTGGCAAGCCATTCATAGAATACACAGCTGAGTCAGAAGATTAAATATTTGATTTTGTATCCCCACTGACTGCCATTTAGAAGCGTCTGGAACTGGAGCAGAGAATATTCAACAGCCCTGTGATCTGCCAACTGACACGCTGTGTGTGTGTGTGTGCGAATCAGGAAAAGGATGGAGCCAGATTTCAGGGCTCTTAAGTAGGGGAAATTTAAAACGATAACTAGGAAGTTATTTTTAGATAAGGGAGATCAGTGTAGGTTAGTGGAATGAACATTAAAATGTACTTTTATGTCCTGTTTATTTATTTATTTGTTTTTGCAGTGAGCAAATAATCACTTAAGGCAAATAGTAAAAACAAGATGCAAGATGGGAACATAAAAAAGAAGAGAGAAAGCTCGTTGAGCGGCCCGAGAGGGGAGCAATCTGGATGCAAACCTTTTATTCAGTTTTCATTTGTTGATTCCACAAGTATTTATGGAGGGTCTGCGGTGTGCTAGGCACTGTGCTGGGTCTCGCTTCGATGAAGGGCCAAGATGTACCTGACTTTGACTTTCCTTGCACTTGGAAAACCACATAAACAGAGACCAGCAGCTTGTGAGGTTTCATGTTGCAGGGGACTCTCACAGGACAGTCCCCCATGCTCTGTGGTGTGGTCAGTCCCGGCTGGGAAAGTGCTCACGCGCTTGGTGCAAGGATTGGTTTTGTCGCTTAATGGTGACTGCTGTGTAGCCTCAGGTCACCAGGAATGTGTGTATGTGTGGGGTTTTTGTGTATGTGTGTATGTTCTGATTAACTCACAAATGTACCCTTGAGTATGGTACAGCCCTATTGGGAAGATGAGAGGCTAGAAAATTCAGTAGAACGTGGGCTCGATCCAAGGACCCCAAGAGCACAACTGGAGACCTGGAACCATGAGACTTGCGGAGGTCCCAGGGGGCTTTGGGAACCCACAATTCAGCTGAGAGGTAGGGACACAAGTGTGACCTTGTAGAGGAGGAATCACAGAGTGGGGGTTGGACTTGACCCACCCAGAGTACTATCAGGCTTTAAGAACATTAGCAAACTGCCATCTTGGAATTAACAGGGCATCTCATCATTACTTAAGACAATGGATTCATTCTTGTTTCGTTTTAAAGTTCTTGCTAAAACTGGGGTGCCTGGGTGGCTCAGTCGGTTGGGCGTCCGACTCTTGGTTTCAGGTCTCCAGTCGTGATCTTGGGGTCCTGGGATCGAGCCCCGTGTGTGTTGTGGGCTCCGTGCTCATCAGGGAGTCCGCTCATCCTTCTCCCTCCCCCTCTGCTCTCTGCCCCCTCCCCCCCAGCGCTGGCTCATGCGCACTCTCTCTCAAATAAATAAATAAAATCTTAAAGAAAAAATAAAGTTCATGCTAAATCTATTTTCTTCCGTGTGTGTGTGAAGCTGACATATGTATGTTTCTTAAATAGGTAATTTCCTGCTCCCAAAATGGGACACAAAGTGGTCGTGTTCGACATTTCTGTCATCAGAGCCTTGTGGGAAACACGTGTCAAGAAGCACAAAGCTTGGCAGAAGAAGGAGGCAGAAAGGCTCGAGAAAAGTGCATTGGAAAAGTATGTGTTTTCTGTACTTGCCTATAGCTTCTTTAGCGTATGGGGACTAGGCAGGCTGCGGTCGTGGTGTGGAGGGGGATGCTCTTGTTTTGGGATTTCTCAGTGACTCTTGCTCATTGGGCTTCAGAGGCATCCCACTGTTGCCCAGAGCGAATGTCTGATTCCCATAACAGTGACCACCCCCCCACCCCCAATGGTGTATGGACCCACATGCATTCCAGGCACTGTACCAGGCCTGGGGTAGATGCCATGATACAGTAAACTCTCTACAGTACACTCTGTGGAATGCTGCTCAGCTGGCCTCATGAGGCCCTCTGATGCTTTCCACACCTGGGCAGACCATGCCCTAGGACACCTCAAGGGCACTCGCTGTCCTGCATTTCCACCCTCACCTGTTAAGCTGAATGCTGGGTAAGACTCACTGTACTGACACCATTTTTAGTTGGATTGAGAGCAGGTAATTCGACTATGCTCATGTAAACTCATGAAATAGGAGTAAAAGAGAGTTACACGTATATGAAATGAAGCTGAGCGCTTTGGAAAAACTGCATTTGGGATAACCATGAGCCACACAATTGACTCAGCACTGCACAAATCCGAAAAAGTATGGCAAGTTGGAGAGGTTGCACATTCTGGTGGCTTTGCATGTCTACTTTTTATTCCCTATGAAGGAACCAAAACTGGAGCTCGTGCATGATGTGCGGAGGGTGTGGTTTATATAAGGAAGGCAGAATGGGATTCTGATTGGCAGACCCATTCTCGGAGGAGGTCCCTGACCCTATCTCAAGTTGGCAAAGGTTGATATTTTTCTGTGCTTTAAGTTAAAAACCAAATGTGTAAGGTGTGAATGTCTCTCTAGTCTCAGTTCTCCATTTTTATGAACTATTTGGATCAAACCAATACTTGTTCTGATCATGCTTGATAATTATTAAGCTGTTACTGTAAGCATCACAGCCGTTCCAGGTGGTTATCCTTATCCCCAACTTGCAGACAAGGAAGTTGGGACCTAAGTGACTTGCCCGAGCTGACACAGCTGGTAAGTGGAGGATTTGACCAAGCTCTTTCCCCTGCACAATGTTGCAATCACAGATAGTTGGGACGTTCTTTCCACTTGCACTAATCTAAGGTTATCCAATATGATGTGAAACTTGAATTTAAGAATTGGAACCTCAGACCGGGCAACACCTGTGGTAAAGGGTGTGAGTGATCTACACTAGCACGAATTACACAGGTCCCCGGACCCCGTGAGCCCAAAGTGGCTCTCAGCTCTGCTCAGACCTCCTCCCCACTCCTAGCATCTAGGGTTATTCTAGGGTAGGACAACTTGCTGAAGGGGGACCCAAGCCCTGGGGGGTTTGGGGAAAGTGTGTAGCTGATGTAACCCTCCCCCCCCACCCCCCCCACCCCGAGGGTTCTTGGAGCTGGAGGCATCTGCGGAGAGCCAGGATCCACAAACTGTTCTCTCAGCTGCTTTGGAGTGGTTTTTGCCTCCTGGCCTCTGTCTTGCATTGTGGTGCTAAATGGCTTTGTGGACAGCTTCCCATACCTCCCGTACACCGGGTTGGCCCTGAATTGGGCTTATGCCACGTCTTATCTTGCCCTAAGACAGAAAACTTCTTAGGGATTTGTTAGGCTTTTCTATTTTTTTTTTTAATATTTTATTTATTTGACAGAGAGAGACACAGAGAGAGAGGGAACACAAGCAGGGGGAGTGGGAGAGGGAGAAGCAGGCCTCCCGCGGAGCAGGGAGCCCGATGTGGGGCTTGATCCCAGGACCCTGAGATCATGACCTGAGCCGAAGGCGGACGCTTAACAACTGAGCCACCCAGGCGCCCCTTGTTAGGTTTTTCTAGCTCAAGATAAGAAAAACAGCCATCATATTGGCTGGGCAGGTGAGGAAATCGGGATGGTGGAGGAAGGAATGTGGGGGTTCAGGGAGCAAGCTGATTAGCTTCCCTGCAAAAAATGAATGTAGTAAATTTACGTTTTTTGCAGGTGTCTCTGAGTTTCCATACTACGATTCATACTGTGATTGTTAATACTATTTGAAGGTTAACCGTTAGTTTCTCAAGATCTGTTTTCTGTAGGGAAATCAATATATTGAAAAGCTGGTGAAATCCGTATCAGAACAAGCAATTATTTGGTTAATTTAATTTTATGAAAACAGGCAAAACACTCTAGGTTGCTCTGTGACCTCACTTCATGGTACTTCATTTTGTAAGACTGTATTTGTTTCATGAAGCGTGTATCAAAACTTAAAAGTTATTAGCCGGGGGGACACCTGAGTGGCTCAGTCATTAAGCATCTGCCTTCGGCTCAGGTCATGATCCCGGGGTCCTGGGATGAAGCCCCGCATCGGGCTCCCTGCTCGGAGGGAAGCCTGCTTCTCCCTCTCCCACTCGCCCTGCTTGTGTTCCCTCTCTCGCTATCTCTCTCTGTCAAATAAATAAATAAAATCTTAAAAAAAAAGTTATAAGCAGAGATACAACACAGACTAGCACTCTATCTGAATGAAACTCAGTCTCTGAGTGGGGGAAATAGAAGAACCGCTGTAAGGCTCTGAGTGAGGACTTTCTCATCCAGGGAGGCTCTTTGCCATCCAGGCTAGGATTGTGGGTTCTTTTCTTAAGGGAAGAGCATTTTATTTGCACATTTACTGATTTAATTAGTGGAACTGTAATGGCATCATTTTACATGTCTATCTGTCTTGTATTTGAAGTTCTACTAAAATTGATTCAAGAGGACGATAATTCAATTATACGGGTGATAAAGTATAAAGACAAAGACTGTCTATTTATTTATTTGTTTATTTTGATCTCCCCCCCTTTTCTTATTGAAATGTGGCTGACACACTATGTTACGTTAGTTTCAGGTGTATAACATAGCAATTTGACAACTCTATGTTATGCTAGACAGTTTACTTATTTTTTTTTTTTTTAGATTTTATTTATTTATTTGACAGAGAGTTAGCGAGAGCAGGAACAGAAGCAGGGGGAGTGTGAGAGGGAGAAGCAGGCTTCCCACCTAGCAGGGAGCCCGATGCGGGGCTCGATCCCAGGACCCTGGGATCATGACCTGAGCCAAAGGCAGACTCTTAACGGCTGAGCCACCCAGGCGCCCCGACAGTTTACTTATTTTAATTAGTCTCAAGGAAGAGAATGGAATTGAAAAAAAGAGTTCATAGTCTCATCTTGACTCTCACCAAAAAATAGCTTATATTCTCATGAGGTTTCAGAGGGAATGGGATAGAAAACATTTAAAAAGAAATCCAAAAAAGATTTGTTATATGCTTCTTTTTAATGAGATGTGTCTAATACCCTTTTTTTTCCATTGTGTTTTGGCGGCACCAAAATATGTGAGTCATTTATGTTGGTTTGTCATTTGTGACATAGGAAGGATGTATTCTGTAGGGCTTAACGGGCATTGTTCCATTACATTGGCAGGGTAGCCCTTCGGGTTCGGTCTAAGAAATGAGGGTAGAAGAGGCGTTAACCTGAAAAGTGCTTGGTGAACACAAGGCTTGGTGAACAGTGGCCATGCTGTTGGCTGTTGCCATTTTGGGGGGATTTCTTTTATTCCTTCAGTCCGCATGTCTTAGATCCAGGGTCTGCCCCACATCCTTGACTGCTACAATCAGATCTAGATCCAAAGGCAGGTATTTACATTCATTCATTTATTTATTTTTAAATATTTATTTTTTATTTAAGAGAGGGAGAGAGTTCATGAGCAGAGGGAGGGGCTGGGGGAGAGAAGGGAGAGAGAGAGTCTTTTTTTTTTTTTTTTAAAGGTTTTATTTATTTGACAGAGAGAGCACAAGCAGAGGGAGAGAGAGGGAGAAGCACGTTACCTGCTGAGCAAGGAGCCTGACGTGGGACTTGATCCCAGGACTCTGGGATCATGACCTGGGCCGAAGGCAGCCGCTTAACTGACTGAGCCACCCAGGCATCCCGGGAGAGAGAGAATCTTAAGCAGGCTCCACGCCCAGTGCAGAACTGGATGCAGGGCTCGATCCCAGGACCCTGACATCATGACCTGAGCCAAAATCAAGAGTCAGATGCTTAACTAACCGAATTGCCCAGGTGGCCCTAGGTATTTACATTTATTTTTATCACATGGTATTCAAATATTTAAATTATACAGAAGCGCTAATAATGAAAAGTAACAATCCCAAGCCAATCCTACCACTTTCTCCCAGTATTAAATTCATCTCTCTCCATGTGCTGGAATTTTTAAACTTATCACTTTTATGACATTACATGGAGACGTCATAGGTAGATCCTGAAGCCCTACCTCCTTGATTGCTGAGTGCCTACCCAAGCTCAGCTCACTGTGACTAGGATCTGGGTAGGGTGGTAGCTGGGCTAACCAGGGCCATCAGCAAAATACTTTTTTAAAATGCTCCTCTTTCTCCCAGCTTAATGGCAAGCTTGAAACTCCAATGATACCCAAAGTCATTTTGGAAGAGCAAAAAGTGCACATAGACCTTGGGAGCCAGCCCTGCAGAAATTCAGGAACGAATGTCCCAGGCAGACACAAGAGCAATGCAAACACTAAAGCATGGGTTGGCCTGGGATGGGGAAGAGGCAGGTTTTAGGGTGAGGATTAGGAGTTTGGGTTGGAACATGTTAATTTTGGGACCTCTTTTTGACATTCAGCTGGAGATACAGGGGAAGCAAGGAATCTGGATTCAGTGAGGCAGTCTTGGCTAGAGAGCTATAATTGGGCACCATCAGCATACAGATCTATTTAAAGCCACGGCACTGGGAGATATCCAAAGAATGAGAAGAGCAGAGGCCCAAGGGCTGGGTGTTGGGACCTTGGAGAGTTGGAGGTTGGGAAGTTGAGGGGGGGTCAGCCCAGCGACTAGAGAGGTAGGAGTGGAATTGGCAGAGAGAGGGGTCCTGGGAGCCAAGTGGCAATCAGACTTCATGGGGGGTTGGGGGGAAGGCCTGTGCCAAATGCTGCAGATGGGTCAGAGAAGATGAAGACTGGATTTGGCCACTGGGTCTAGCAAAGCAGAGGTCATGATGACCTTGAGAACAGTTCCAAAGAAGGGGGATGCTGAGAACAGTTCCAAAGAAGGCGGATGTTCCAAAGAAGGGGGTTCAACAGAAAACAGGGGGGTGGGAACGGAGAATTGTGGATGTGAGTCAGCACAGCTCTTTCGTTGGGTTGGCTACAGGAAGTCCTTGAGCAGGTGAGAGGCTGGGTTTAGCTCGGGAGGTGGTGTAACCACAGGGAGGATCTGGGAGAGTTCTTACAGACCAGCCTAAGCACAGGCAGAGTTGACAGGAACACATGTGAGCAGGTGGCGTGGATGTGGTGCTGGGAGTTCCACGTGTTCTGTTCTCTTTCATTTCTTCCCTCCCTGAACCAGGAGCTCTGGGACAGAGGATGGGGTAGGTGCTGATGGAGGTTTGCTTGAAAGGGAGAAAATGTGCAAGAGTCACCTAGGGCCTGGGGCAAAGGGTCAAGCTTGGGAGTGTGGCAGGGCTGCTGGACAGCAGTGAGGGGCCTGGGGTCAGGGGTCACCATTCAAAGCGAGGCCAGTTTGCAAGGCAGTGAATTTTCCTCCACACTCACTCCTGGGTGGGTGCAGGTGTGGAGCTAGGGGTGGGGTGGGGGAGGTGGATGCCAGCTAAACTGAGGTTTGTCCAGGTGCACACAAAAGAGCAAAAGAGGGGTAGGGGGATTGAGGAGGGATGCAGGAGTGATGAAAATGGGACCACGAAATGTTTTTTATGAAAGCCTTACTGAGGAGCGTATCTGACACACAGGAAACTACACGTATTTAAAGGATACAATTTGAAAAGTTTGATGTACATATACCTCTGTAAAACCATTTGCACAATCAAGATAGGATCATATTCGTCATCTTAGAAGCCTCTTCCTCACTCTAGGTGGTTCTTTCCTCTCATCCCCTGTCCTCGGTGCCTGGGCAGTCACTCCTTCCTGTCGCTGTAGATGATTTTGCATTTATTAGAGTCTTACAAATCATTTTATATAAATGGAATAATTTTTTTTTTTTGGCCTGGATTCTTTCGATCAGCCTGATGACACCGAGATTCATTCACATGGTAGTGTGTATCAGGAGTTCATTTCTTTTTACTGCCGAGTAGTAGTCCACGTGTGGATAAGCTACAGTGTGTCCATCCATTCACCTATGAAGATGCATCTGGGTTGTTTTCAGGTTTTGGCTATAAAGCTAATATGAACATATGCCTAGGTCTTTGTATGGATAGACACTTTCCCCTGTCTTATAGAAATACCTAGGAGTGGAACGTCTGGAGCATACGGTGTACATATCATCTTTATAAAATCCGTGGGGATCTAGAGGGTTGGTGACTGGCAGGGTCCGGCTGTGTCCCCAGGCACCCACCCCGGCATTGCAGCTCTCCTGAGGAATTACTGACATTGACCACACTCTAGTGTTGCTACCAAGCTTTGCTAACACTCCTAACTGTTGACTGGTGGAAAGACAGTCTATAAGCACTTACTAGAATGTTTCAACACCTGTGATTCCTTTAACAGCGTGGTCCTGGCTCTGAATCAGGGGTCTCTTGTTGGCTCCACACCCTCTGCACACTGCCCTGGCAGCTTTGCCCCTCTGGTTCCCCTGCTTACTCATTCCCTACGATTTGCCCATCACAAGGGTGGGGGGGGGGGTTGGGGACGTGAAACAAAAACGAGGCAGAACTGAAAGCAGTCGAAGCTACATAAAGGAGAAGGTGATCACAACTCCCTGAGCCCTGGCGGTCCCACCGCAACAAGGGATGAGGGGAAGAGGTCTGGGCTTTCTCTCCCCACCTCGCCACACCCCTGCCAGACTTCTCACAGGGCGACCAACCTGTGCTAAAGGTTAACGCTCAAAAAAGGTGCAGTGATGACTCTGCAGATATAAAAGGAATGTGTGTTCGAAATTCTGGTTTTCTCTTGGGGCGCTTGGGTGGCTCAGTTGGTTAAGCAACTGCCTTTGGCTCAGGTCATGATCCCGGAGTCTGGGGACTGAGATCGGGGCTCCCTGCTCAGCAGGGAGTCTTCTCCCTCTGACCCTACCCCCTCTTGTGCTCGCTCTCTCTCTCTCTCTCTCAAATAAATAAATAAAATCTTAAAAAATTTCTGTTTTTCTCATTATGAACAAGAGGACAAGCAGTGAGGTGTTACAGCCAGTTCAAAGGAGAATCCAAAGGACAGACACATTTAGCTATCAGGAACATTGAAATGAACTTGCAAACAGAACAAACTGTCCTCAGAGGTGGGGGAGGGTTGTCCCTCCACCGGACAGAATTGATTTCCATGTTGTAGTCAAGAATTATTTGTGTTGCTATCAGTTTTCTACAAGTTCACTTTAATCTCTGCAGAGTTGTAAAGATCGGTCAGGTATGTTATAAACTGGGGCTGCCTATATATTTCAAACCGGGTGCCCTCGAAAGATTAGCATATTCCTGTGGCCATGCATTTAAAAACAAAACAAAACAAAACAAAACAAAACAACTTGGGCTAGCACCACATAATATCAAAGGAAACTATAATTAATAAAATGCATAGGTAGCTTTGGTAGAAATTTTAGGCAGGAATTCCATCCCTCTCTAGTTCTGCTACCAAGCTTTGCTAACACTCCTAACTCTTGACTGGTGGAAAGACAGTCTATAAGCACTTACTAGAATGTTTCAACACCTGTGGTTCCTTTAACAGCGTGGTCCAGGCTCTGAATCAGGGGTCTCTTGCTGGCCCTGATTCTCCTTCTCTACTTTTTTAGTCAAAGTTGCTGATAATTCACAACTCTGAGGGTTTAAGATGCCCCTTACATTCCCACAGCAGAGGGACGGAGAGAGGAGGTGCAGGGAGGAGGGCTGAGGTTTGGGTGGTTGTGGGGGGTGGTGCTTGAGTCTCCCGCCACTACGGGGAATCGCCTGTGCCCAGGTGGCCTGCCGGCTACTCTGGGCAGGTGAGGGCGGTTCCCCAGGAACGTGACTTCGGCCTCTGCTGTCCATTTAGGATAAAGGAGGAGTGGAACTTCGTGGCCGAGTGCAGGAGGAAAGGCATCCCCCAGGCTGCGTACTGCAAGAATGGCATTGTAGGCACCAACGTGAGGCTTCTGGAAAAGATCGAAAGGAACACTCTTGCAAGGCAGAGTTCACTTTCCAAGGAGAGAGACAAACGGAGCAGTCCATTTGTGTTTGAACTTTCGGGGGAGCAGTGGACGGTGAGTGCAGCAAGGGGGTGCCCGATGCGCGCTGCTGGGCTCTGCTCCAGGCATTGATTGGCCTTGGCCTTGGCCCAAAGAGGAGCTTTCCCATGGATGGGGAGGAGCCAGTTGCCTGCTCTGAACCAGATTCTCTCGTCCCTTCCTCCATGCAAGACCACGTAGTCCTGGGGAGGGCAGCAGGATCCCTCCCAAGCTGGCAGGGGCTGCGACCCCAGTGGCCCTCCCCAGGATGGCACAGCCTTTAAAATATTTACTCCTGGGAGCCTGGGTGGCTCAGTTGTTAAGCAACTGCCTTCGGCTCAGGTCATAGTCCCAGGGTCCTGGGATCGGGTCCCACATCGGGCTCTCTCCTCTGCGGGAAGCCTGCTTCTCCCTCTCCCACTCCCCCTTGCTTGTGTTCCCTCTCTCACTGTGTCTCTCTTTGTCAAATAAATAAATAAATAAATCTTTAAAAAAAAAATAAAATAAAATATTTACTCCTGTGGTCTCTCCCCCAGACCTTTAAAATCACTCTTTGCCCCCCACCTTTTTTTTTTTTTTAAATAAACTGAGTCTTTTAGGTAACATCCCCCAGTGGGTAGTGACAGACCCTTTAACTGCTTTTCCTCCTGAGATTCTGAGGCCAGGACAAAGATGCCCCCCCCCCCCCTTTCCTCAGGTGTTTACAGGTGGCCTCCTGCTCCCAGGGTCCCTGACCTGCTACTTTGCTTGGGGAGGCATCTCCAGGGCTTGCCCATGATCTGACGTTTTCTGGTGGAAGCAGCACCTGAGTGTGCCATGGCAAGCAAACTGGGACGATGGTCCCTTTCTGGGGCACAGGGTTCTCTGGAACCTGCCCTCCATCTCTTTTTATCCCCCCAACTTATGGCTGAAGGCACTCTGGGCCCGGAGACTGAAATTTTGGAGGGGGGGATCCTGGGGGTTGTCCTTTATTGGCCATGTGATCTGGGGGCAATTTACTCCACTTTCATATATTTTATCTTCTCCAGTGCTAAGGCCTGCCGTGGCTTCCTCTAAGGGCTGTTGTGGGTTCTAAAGGAGCCGATATTCTAGGACACTGACTTGTTGGCTGCACTGCCCTCTGAAACTGGGAGAGATTATTACTGTACAACCTCTAGTCTTCTTTCTCCTGCATCCCCATCACTGAGATCAGTGGGTGCTCTTCTGCAGTTCTAGTTAAATACCGCTGGTAAATCATTCTCATGTGCCATTGTCAAACGTGGTCCTGGTCTAAGCACTTACCCCACAGGGGTTACCCAGCCCACCTGGAGAACCTCCATCCATAAGCACTTCTCAGCACCTTTCCAACTGTATCCCAGAGCCCTTGAGCCAGGGGCGGCCTTGGATTCTGCTGAGTTCCTCTGTCGCTTCACAAATGAAGGCCGAGGGAAGTGGTGTGCCTGGAAAAAGGCAGAGCCTGGCCCAGCATTCAGGTCTCCCTGCTGTCTTTCTGGTGCTCTTTCCTATGATAGAAAAACAGTGAGAAATTTGGCACACCAACTATTAGATCTTTATCAAGCAACTACCTAGGGAGGGGAAACGTAGCACAAATTTAAAAATCCAGTGCATGGACAGATTTTGTTTTGAGTTGTTAAATCAGTGTGTTTTGAGATGTAAATCAGCGTGGCTATGGGTGTGAGCCTGGTTGTCTGTGTTCACTGGGCATTTGATCTTAATATCATGAATGAACGGCAGTTTTGTAATTGGGCTAATCTGTGAAATTAATGACAACCCCAGAGTCTTAAAGTGGCTTCTTGGAGGGGCTGTGGAGCGGGCTAAGGTTAGACCTGATGCTCTCCCGCATGCTCTCTCGCTTCTTGCCTTTTACATAAATGCCCGGTTGTACTTGGCTCTGTGCACGCTGCCACTCGGCTCCGACATCTTGAGGAACTAGTTGTGACTGATGTCATTCATTCTGTTTTAGGAGCTCCCAGATTCGTTGAAGGAGCAGACACACCTGAAAGAATGGCACATCAATAATACCCTGATTCAAATCATTCCTACTTATATCGAGCTGTTCAAAGCCATGAGAATTCTGGATCTGCCAAAAAACCAAATCTCCTGTCTTCCAGCTGAAATGGGTATGTTCTCCAGCAGGAGCCTCAGTGTTCTTGTCTGGCAAGCAGGCTGCTGGTGGGCAGGTGGTGGCTTGGCGCTTCCTTTCCCTCCTGGCCCAGGACGCTGCTGGACGGGGCTGTTTCCTGTGTTCCCAGAGCTGCTGGTTAGTTCGCCAGGTCCCCTTGGGGCAGTGATAGCAGGATCCCACCTGCAGAACTCAGCATAGGCAGACATTTGCCAATGGCTCAGAAACTAGAAGTCTCATGAGTGAGCAACGCTGTGTTTAGGAACTTTTTGTTTATTTTCTTTTAGTTTTAGAAAGTTAAGCATGCAATGACATGTTCATTGCAAACATAAAATACGACCAATTTGTTCCTGTATAAGTTTAGTGTAGCCCTATTATGTCATTTTGATCAACAGTTTATAATTCTCCATCATTTTTCTGTTCAGCTGCAGTACCTTAAAACGAAGGCTACAATGATCATTACTGCTTCTCTTTCTCTTGGGGTGGGAGGGGTGAAGGTCTGGGGGCTGCCTATAGTTCCATGAAGGATTAACTAGAGAGTAAGCAAAAAATGCTATGATCAAGGACTGACATGCTCAGGATAAAAGATGAGCTGACATTTAATCAAGTGCTTAAAAAACAAATACAAAATTATGTTTCATGTCTCCCCCATCGTCATTTATACAAATGTTTTATATCTTTGTCTTGTGTTTGTTATTAAAAGACCTTAAAGGATCTTCCCCATGGATGTTCATTTGTTCTGATGACAGGTCGTTTGAAGAACCTGAAAGAACTCAATGTGAGTTTCAACCATCTGAGGAGCATTCCTCCAGAACTGGGAGACTGTGAAAATCTAGAGAAACTGGATTGTTCTGGAAACCTAGAATTAACCGAGCTCCCCTTCGAAGTAAGAAAGCAGTCATATTGGCACTATGATTTACTTGTATTTGGTTTATGACATGGGATGATCTATAATGCAGGGAAGACAGTTTACAAGATGAAATCCATCTTTATTATATCATGCTTTCTTGACATTTCAATCACCCTATACCAGCGATTAGAAGGTCTTTTAAAATGTTCTTATACTAGACCAGGAGCTGAATTTAAGTTCAGAAAAGCTATCAAAAACAAACAAAACTAGGCAAAAATGTCCTGTTTTCATATAAGATATTTTTATTTAATGCCTGTTCAACGTATGATGTCTGTTGTCTGTAATGCAGATCTGGATTTATTTAATCCACAGTGGTAAAATAAATTGGAAACCGTTGGAAATTAATGGGGTAAAACTTGCAGATAACCAAAGTAGTCTTAACAGATAAGATTTTAAAAGTCTATTAATTTAAGCAATATTCATTAATGATTTTTGGTCTGTATTCACTGGAGAAATGATTCAAAATCACATTCTGATGAGATGGAGCAGCTGAGAGGAAAGAGTGTTGCCAAACAAAACTCAACAGGCTTCTTATGCTGAAGGGAGATAGAGATCTCATAATCCTGCTGGTAATGAACAGACTGGAAACAGTGTTCCTGGTATGGTGCTAACAAGTCCCTGGCTGCTGATTAGCATCCTAGATGGGGTGTTACTCTCCTTGTCTGGAAACTTCTGGGTGGGAGGAAGTGGCCGCGTCCACTGTCGCCTCAGGAAATGCCCGACAGTCCAGGTGAGGGCATCCACCCAGGGGCATGACTCCATGCATGAGACTGCTCATTCCCCAGGCCTCTTCAGTTTATTTATTTTAATTAATTAATTAATTTTTAAAGATTTTACTTATTTATTTGACAGAGAGAGAAATAGCATGCACACTAGCAGGGGGAGTGGGAGAGGGAGAAGTAGACTCCCCACTGAGTAGGGAGCCTGATGCGGGGCTCCATCCGGGTTCTGGGATCATGACCTGAGCTGAAGGCAGATGCTTAACTGACTGAGCCACCCAGGCGCCCCCAGGCTTCCCCAGTTTAGAAATTGGCTCAGTCTTCTCTTGGTTGTCCAGGCTGGAAACAATCCAAGTCATCTTGACCTCGCTTGCTCCCATGCCCTGTATTCATTCACTCTGTAAGTAAGTCCTGTTGAAAATGCCCTTCAGAATAGGTTCTGTATCTGACCACCACCCAGGAACTGGTCACCAACACCCTTGTCCAAGGGGCGTTATCATCAGGACTGGGACAAAAGCCTTCTAGGCTCGCCTCTCTGTCCCTTCTCTGTTTCCCCCCTTTATTGAGATATAATTATAGACCTTCAGATTTAACCATAAGTGTACAATTCACTGTAATTCACTTCTAGGATATTTTTATCATTCCCTCAAAATTCCGTCTCACCTGTTTACAGTTAATCCGCATGAGTTGGCATATTAAGCAGCCCTAGGCAACCACCATTTGGGTTTGTTTGTTTTTTTTTTTTTTTGCTGGCAAACAGCAATGTCCTGCTGATTCACCTATATTGACATACGTGGGAGCAAATGTACTCGGGATATAGATTTTTAGGCTCTTTGCTTTGAATGGGATTCTGTAAATGCACTGTACTTGTTATACTTCCCCAGTTGGCTCTGTTATTAACAGCTCACTGACTCTCATTGGCCATAAATTTCAGCCACCTGTTCAAAGTATGGCTGATTCAGGATAAATAGAAACTATGTAGCTGAAGACAGGTCATGTCTCAGCCTCATGTGTCCAACTTGTATGTATCCAAAGGAAGCATACAGCACACCAGGTTCTCGCCTCTATAGACTCAGGAAAGCACTGTTTGCCTGGATGCCATATCCAAATGCTGGCATTAAAACACTGTTTTTTTTCCTTTGGTTAAAAACATTACATTTACCATTGTGACCATTTTTAAGTGTATGGTTTGGTAGGGTTCAATGTATTCCCATCATTGTGCCTGTCTTCATGAGGATGCTTCTCACACAAATAATTGACACAATCCTGAATTCAAGTTCAAACAGACCTCAAGTAGAATGAATGACCCATGGAGGGAACTACCAGGAATTTTGAGACAAAGGTAAAGATAATGAAACTTCTGTATAAATGAGTGTTGTATTTATTTTGACTGAATGTCAGATTTTTATCTGGACAGCCCCGGAATTGTCAGGCAAATATAAGTACCTTTCAAAAGAGTTTGAGTGTTTTGCTTTGCCCTTGATGAAAGTAGCTAGTGGGGAATGACTATATCCAGGCATTTGCTCTCCTTGCTAGTTTGATGGCACTGTGATTTTCCTTATTCTAATTTTCACAGAAGTCTTAATTTATTGAGGATATTTAAAGGAAAGAACTTGGGGCGCCTGGGTGTCTCAGTCGGTTAAGCATCTGCCTTCAGCTCAGGTCGTGATCCCAGGGTCCTAGGATGAAGCCCCATGGCTTCTCTCTCTCCCTCTGCCTGCCACTCCCCCTGCTTGTGCTCTCTCTCTCTGTCAGATAAATAAATCTTTAAAAAAAAAAAAGGAAAGAACTTATTCTTTTACAGGCTGAAAAAAAAATGCACCTTCTACATTTATTGTAAAAAGAAGAAAGATGAGAAGCTGATGGTAATTCAGTCTTGGTTTTTCTGCTGGTCTGAGAATCTCTGCAACACAGCCAGAGACTTTAGACTGAATTATGGGCACCCCAAACATCTTTTTTTGACTGCTTATTCACTGTCACATTACTGTCTTCACATTCATTTTCATAAATTCAAAACAAGAGCAAAACTAGAATGTGCCCATTCAAGGGGGTGAGTTTGACCTGTGGGTCACTAAAGCAAATGTGGCAATATGGGATTAGGTACGATATTAAGGTAAAGAGAGGCATAAGCCTACTGCTTCTTTCTTTTCTACATTTCAGTCATTCCTTCTGTTGGCCCAACTGGCTCCATATTGCATATTTCATAAGTTTGGAAAATGTGTCCTGAGAGGCAGCCTAAATGTTATTTGTGGACTCTAAAAATAAGTCAGTAAAAGGTAGCTCCTTCTATTTGTCTATATTGTCACACAGCCACAACCCAACTTACAAAAAAATCCAAACATGAGACACTTTTCCTACGTCATTCAATATTCGTAGATTTGCATTTGAAATAAAAAAAAAATATTTCCCTGCATATCCAGTTACCATGTTAAAAACACAAACTACGGAAATGAGACATAAAGAGTAGAGATTTCTGATCTTTTGCCATGGCCCTTCACAAGTTCAAATGTGAGTCTTTTTAAGATTTGCCAAAACTCCTTGGCTGTCTTCAAGTCATTCTGTTTTTTTAAGGCTTGCACTTTTTGTTTTCTGTGACTTTGCACATGCTGTTTCCCATCTGGAGTTCACTTCCCTATCTTTCCACCTGTTGAGGAACCTCAGGACCCAGTGCAAAAACTCTATTCTCCGTGAAATCTTTCCTGACCCCTTCCCTTACCCCACCGTGACGTCGGCACATTAGCCCCTTATGTCTGTGTTACCGAACGCTCCAAGTTGAAAACTTCACATTAGTTCTTGCTACATAAAATGGCATTGCTTATTTTTAAAAGTGTGAACTCCTGGAGGGCGGCCCCTGCGTGCTGTTGATCTCAGCCCGCCCTGCATCAGCGCTGCAAGATACATACTCTGCTGATCTGTGTTGCCTATATTCTTAGAAGGGCCTTTGGGAAGAAATAGCACCTGAAAATTATTAGTTGAACATACCCTCTCTTACAAAAGTAATTAGAATATGTTGTTATTCCTTTCTAGTTAAGTAACTTGAAGCAAGTTACATTCGTAGATATCTCAGCAAACAAGTTTGCCAGTGTCCCGATCTGTGTCCTGAGGATGTGTAATTTGCAGTGGTTGGATATCAGCAACAATAGTCTGAGTGACCTGCCCCAAGATATAGACAGGTAGCTACTCGCATTCTGAAGGTGAGGTGTATGAATTACTTACTAACGCCTTAGACACCGTTAACGTTTTAAACATGCATAACACACGAATGGTCTTTGAAATCAGTGACTTTTCCAAGAGCTTATTGTTTCTGGGAAATGAGTTTCATTCTTTATATGATAAGACACTTTCCAGTCAGCCTCATACATGTGCGTGCATATGTGTGTGCATTTGAACACATCTCCGTTGTCTTGGTGACCTTTAATTTGCTTGAGTCGTCAACAGAATGACATCATTAACTTTCTTTACCCCACAGAAGTAGCAAAGTATTTTTATTATATATGGAATAGGAACATATCACTCTATGTCTTTATATATATGTTATTTACGGACGAGGAACATACTACTCTGTGTTTAGAGTATCGGTGAGGATAATTTTTTTTTTGTTTCATTTATTGACTTATCACACATAATCTTTCAAACAAAATCAATATGATTAGGAAGGTTTTTCCAATTATATCCTTGTATTTCATGTTTAGAAAATAATTACACCGGGCCGCCTGACTGGATTATTCAGTAGAGCATGCGACTCCTGATTGTGGGGTCATGAGTTCAAGCCCCACATTGAGCATAGAGCTCACAAAAAAAAAAAAAAAAAAAAAAAAAAAAAAAAAATATATATATATATATATATATATATATATATATATATATACCGAGTCATGTAAGATCCATTCATTCACTCATTTATTTCATTCATTCATCCCACCAATGATATTAGGCTCCTGAATGGCAGGCCCAGAGTTTAAAATGGTGAATGAAACAAAGTATCTGGCCTCCTGGGATCCACAGTCTTCTTTATAAAGATAGAGCATAATAAGCAAGCTGTCGTGATACAGAAGCCAAAACTGACTTAGTACTGAAGGTCACTCACATGACCTTTTTCTACTCCTGGTACTTATGATGCATATTGGTGCTTTCCGGGTTTGTGAAACTAAGTGGGAATTGTTTTAGTTTGAAACACGAGGGGAACTTGGTGAAATATTTGTGGGATCAGTCAAGATTTTGCAAATGCATGCAAGAAAAAACTGGGGGGGGGGTGTCCACCGAGTCAGAATAAAACAGAAAACAAATAAAACATATCTGGAGCGCATTTTGCTCATTTCCTTTTCATTTTGCAGGTTTCTTTCCATTTTAAAGTTAGAAAATATGATGGGAGAGGAATATCGGGCTTTCAAGATATACCCCCAGGAAACATGTTGCTCAAATCTGTTCATTCCAGGCCCCAACTCCAGTACGGTTCCTTTCCCATCCCCTGCTGGCCCCGGGGAATGTGGCAGACACTTGGAGAGGTGTACTGATTGGTCAGGCCCCCTCCCAGACTAGCGTATAATGCGCCGATTGCTTATCCTGCTGTTATATTTGTCTTTGCTTGGCAATTAACCCAGTGAAAACTTAAAAAACCCAAATAGTGTCTCCTGGCATGACTTTATTTAAATTTTAAAGTCCGTTTATTTTCATAGGGTCACATACATAAAATAAACTATGTAGGGATTTCATACCAGAATTTCTTTGCCATTCACTTGGTTTCCGCCCCCCGCCCCCCTTCCCCATGAAGTTAATCCTTTTAAGTTCTAATCCCTTTTACTTCTTCTTAGGCTAGAAGAACTGCAGACCTTTCTCTTGTATAAGAACAAGCTGACCTATCTTCCTTATGCCTTGCTTAACCTAAAGAAGCTCACCTTGTTAGTTGTCAGTGGGGACCATTTGGTGGAGCTCCCGACGGCCCTGTGTGACTCATCCACACCTTTAAAGTGAGTAGATCCCTGTAGAGACATTCACGTGCAAGGTAAGGGGCACCTGGAGCCTGGGTGCCCACCTGTCTCAGGAACCATATTGGATGGTTCTTGGACTCGGAGGACCTGATCCCAGTTCACAGAAGTTTCAATGCCTTTTTACAGGATTTTGAAGTTTTTGGCCAGTGGCACGAGGAAGTAGATCTCGGAGGATTTCTGGACAAACGCTGCTTTGTTTGAAGCGTGACAAAGCGCACGACCAGGGCTCCCTGGTTGTCTTACCCTTCTCTGGTTTCCTTAAAGGAACCTGTAAACCACCCCAAAGTAAGAAAAACCATCCCTGCAAATGTGATACAGATTCTAATCTGGCGGGAGACATTTGAACAGTCTTTCTTACCTTGGAAGTGGACTTGAAAAGCCCCAGCTCCACCCTCCCCTGAAGCTGACTCCAGGCCACCTTGACGCGAGGTTGCTCCAGTGAGAGCTGCTTCCTCCCTGTGTCCGGGGACCCATCTGCCTTGAATACCAGGTGTTTGCTATTTGGCGATTAAGGGGCGATTTCCCAGAGATGTCCAGTTCTTTCCGTGGTAGATGCTCACTCGGCATAAATCTTCCTCATCTTCCGATCCTGGCAGTAAGATGCATAGCAGACAGAAATAGAGAAGTGAACTATTGCAAAGAGAGAGACTAAATTCATTCCTGTGTTAAGCACAAGATGAACCGGGATATGACATCTTCTCCCCACTGGCCCACCACACTCCTTCCACTGGAATGGGTCTTCCCTTGCCCTTGGCTGTCCTAGGAATGTCTTCTGGATGGGAAGAGGCCCCCTGGTGGCGGGGGTAGCAGGACCCCCCACCTCCTTGGAACCCCTTCCACACTCAGGCAACCAGGAGCAGCAACTTCACAACCAAAGACAGGAAGGGAACTCCCGGTGAGGGGAAAATGGACCTGTGTGCAGGTAACTCAAGTCACTTCAGATGACGTCATTGTAGGACTTGGAAATCTAAAAGAATCAGAGGGAAGCTCTTTGAATTAATAAAAGTTTAATAAAGACACGAGATATAAGTTTTCATCAAGACCTCTATGTCTTACCGGTGTCTTAGAAATAACCTATAGAAAAACAATGGAAAGAATGATGGCAGTAATTGTATTAGCCAAAAATATAAAAATCTAAAAAAGAAATCTAGAAAAGATGCTAGTAAAATAGCTCTCTTATGTGAAGAAAATGAGAAAGTGTTCCCAAACACTTGTCAAAGAGGTCTTGAGTATTTGGAAAGACATACTGTGTCTTTCCTGGATGAAAAGGAGATAAAGACGTGATTTCTTCCAAAGATTATACTTCGGTGTAATGTGATTTCAACCATGACTCCAGTGGGATTTCTTTTTTGGAACTTGAACAACTGATTGGAAGGGATATCTGAAAGGCAGAAAGCTAAGAACAGCGACAATAATTTTGGAAAACAAGAGTAACGGGACAGAATTTGCCTTACTGAGAGTCATAATGTGTTTAAAAGGTGTAAGAATCAAAATGAGGTGGTGCTAGGCAATGATTTGTAGATGAATGATCAGAACAGAATAGGTAGTACTGAAAGTGAGCCTAATCTATGATATAGGGATTTTCATAAACCAGTGCAGAAGGTCTGAGTGACTTAAAACACCATTAGGGAAGTTGGCTAATTAGGGAAGACAAAGCCTGTTATTCACTCTACAGCATCAGAAAGCTTATGGCCTATAGCCATATATATGCTGTGTGTCATATAGGGAGACATCTAGATTAAGCCACAGATTAAGCATTAAAAGGAAACTATAAAAAGAATAAGAAATGCCATGTTAATGATGTGTGGATTGACCATGTGTTTAACACCTATCCTTCTTGAGATCCCATTTAGATGAGGAAAAAAAAAAAAAAAACCTATAAGCCCTCCCATGACAGAGAAAGCAGGGGAAGGCCTTCACAGAATGAGAGATGTCAACATGCTTTGGGAGACATACAGCAGATGGAACAGTGGTGACTGACAAAAATAGAATGGAATAGGCTCAAGTTCAGAGACCAAACCAAGAAACTGAGCCCACTGACCCCTGGAGAACTCTGAAGAAGCATGTGGTCAGAAATTCCAGGTCCGCCGGGTTGGTGCAGATTGAGGCAGGGTGCTAAAAAATGAAAGGACAATTTCATGTACGCAGACGATCCCCCGCCTTCCAATCTCCTCCTCGATTCCATTGGGCAGACTACTCAGCACCTGACCAAAAAGCCTGAGGTTTCGTCTAGGGGGGCCCTGGGGGAAAAACCCCGGAGTTTTGTGTTTGGAGACTCCCCAGGGGACTGGCAGCTCCTTGCCCACGTGGTCACCCACGGTGGGCTGGAACCTGGGCGAGCATGGTCTGCACGTGCGGGTGCCCAGCCAACATTTTGTGGTCTCAGCCTCAAACATGAAGGCATCAATCACCGAGCCTTTCCAGATGATTGTCACAAAAACATGAATTTTTCAATTTTAGAATCAAACTGCAGGCAAGATAGAAAAGTTAAATATTGGGGCACCTGGGTGGCTCAGTCGTTAAGCATCTGCCTTCGGTTCAGGTCATGGTCCCAGGGTCCTGGGATCGAGCCCCGCATTGGGCTCCCTGCTTAGCAGGGAAGTCTGCTTCTCCCTCTCCCACTCCCGCTGCTTGTGTTCCCTCTCTCGCTGTATCTCTCTCTGTCAAATAAATAAAATCTTTAAAAAAAAAAAAAGAAAAGTTAAATATGGTTTCAGATCAGAATGCAGATGGTGTTGGTGTTAACGGTGTAAAAGTGAAAGTACGTGATGTCTATGATGTGCTTTGAATGCATCAAAAAATAAGATGGCTCGATGAGCAGATTGAGGGGTGGGTACACAGGTGGCTGTGTGATAAAGCAGGTGCAGTAAAATCTTAAATATGGAACCTAGGTGGTAGGGATGGGTGTGTTCACTGTAGCGTTTTTTTGACTTTTCTGAATGTTGGAAAATTTTCATAGTGGAATGTTGAAAAAGTGAAAGTATAGATCATAAAAATTGGGAGGTGGGAGGGTTGGGGAACTGAAGAGAAGGGAAGGAAGACCTCCGCTTGATTAAACAACATTGAAGTATTGGTCCTGTGTAAAAGAGAGTTCCAGTAGGTTAAGTAAAAATAATGATTGATGATGAAAGAGACTGGCTCTGGGGATCTGAGACAGAGAGGTCGGGTGAGAGTCTATGGTTTTAAATAAAAAAGTATCCTTGCACTATTCAAATTTTAAAATATGTACAGTGATTATTCTGATAAAACATTGAAGAATGATGAAATATAGGCATTTTCTTTTTTTTTTTTTTTGGGTAGGGACAGATGATAAAAATTAACTCAATGAAAGAGCTTGTAAAGGGGGCTCATGGGTGGCTCAGTCGGTTAGGCTGCTGCCTTCGGCTCACGTCATAGTCTCACGGTCCTGAGATCGAGCCCTGCATCGGGTCCCCTCTCCCTCTGCCCCTCCCCCCCTCACTTATGCTCTTTCTCTCTCTCTCTCAAATAAATAAAATCTTAAAAAAAAAAAGAGCTTGCAAAAGAAAAGTTGCATGGATCTATACACAAAGAATTTAAAACTTTTTGCTTTCTCCGCATCTAGACATTAAATAAAATTACAAGGAAAAAGAACTGGGAAATATATGTTACAAAAATAGGACAGGTGGGCTTTATCTTCCACGTGTATAGAGCTTCCACAAACCAATAAGAACGATACCACCCAAGCCAGTAAGGGCCCACACTTGCAGCCAGAGACTATTCGAGGGATTTCCAAGTTTGAATTGAAATAATTACATTGCCTTTCACACCAAAACATCTTTCAAAACGGTGAGGACAGGAGATCAAATGTCATTTTAGTTTCTGTCCTTGAGCTTCTTTTTTTTGGTAGGAGTACCCATCTTTTCCGTTGCGAGGATATTGACCATCTGACTTCTTTATAATTTAACCCAACCTCATCTTAGAGTTTGATATCATTCATTGGGAGTAATATCAAACATAGTAGGACATGATCCAGTGTGAAGGGTCTGACTTGCTCTGAAGAGCAAGTGTTGGTGTGTCCACCTCAGGGCCTCCTGCCCGCTGTCCTCCGTTTGTGGCTGAGTGGCTCTCATTCCCCCAGCAGGCCTCTGAGCAGGACTGATTCCATAATCCTGTTGGATTATCCCATGGACCAGTTCCACTGGTAATGCTAATATTATGCGGTCATCTGTGACCTTCAAGGATGAGTAAGAACTTGAGATTTAATACCACAGAGGTTGACTTCTTCTTTTTTTTTTTTTTTAAGATTTTATTTATTTATTTGACAGAGAGACACAGTGAGAGAGGGAACACAAGCAGGGGGAGTGGGAGAGGGATAAGCAGGCTTCCCGCCGAGCAGGGAGCCTGATGCGGGGCTCGATCCCAAGACGCTGGGATCATGACCTGAGCCGAAGGCAGACGCTTAACGACTGAGCCACCCAGGCGCCCCAGAGGTTGACTTCTTATGAGATGAATTCTGTGGTTAAATATGTACAGGTGAAAATGTGATATTGTCCATATTTTCTTGAATAGATTTGTAAGCCTTATGGACAATCCTCTTGATAATACCCCATGTCAAGATGGTGTTGAAGTGATGGAAAGTGAACGAGATCGTCAATGCTTTGATAAAGAATTTTTGAAAGCCTATATCGAAGATGTTAAAGAAAGAGGTACGTTAATCTTATTTAAAATTATTTTAGGGGCACCTGGGTGGCTCAGTCAGTTAAGCACCTGACTCTTGATTTCCGCTCAGGTCATGATCTTGGGGTCCTGAGATCAAGCCCTGCAACTGGGCTCCACGCTTTAGTGCGGAGTCTGCTTATCTCTCTCCCTCTGCCCCTCTCCTGGCTCTCTCTCTTCAAATAAATAAATAAATAAAATCTTAAAAAAAATTCTTTTAAATAAATATATGGCATTCCATGTACTCATGCAACACATTTATTGACATGAATCACAATGATAAAAGTTAATTGGTTAATTGATTATTTTTCCAAGTGCCAAATATATATATACATATAATTTTTTTTAATATCAAATTTTTCTAGTGTACTTGAATACTTGATACATCACCAACTATTTGACAGAGAGGCCTGGAAACATACACTTGGGACGTTGCACTACTAACTGTACATGAGTTTTTAACAAAATGACATTGACAAAAGAGTATCCCGGTTAACGGGAAAATAAGATTCCATTTCAAAATCCATTTAAATTCAACTTTAGAAAAAGTTGTTTCTTACATAAATCAAGGTCCACTTATATAAAAATCACAAAAGGAAAAACACAAGGTGGCAGACTAGTACCTAGATCCCTTTAGCTTTGGTTTCCCACAGGGTGGTGATAATACCCAGGAGCAGGGGGAAGTCACAGGACCTCAGGAAAGGGCGGGAAGCTATTTCCCCAGGGGCTGTTCCCAGTGTTCTGGAAGATAGAAGCCCTTCCTTCTGCTGTAAGCACACAAACACAGGAAGAAGCCATAAGCACCCTTTTTTCTTCTAACCACCTCCTTCCTGGCTATGGTTGCACATTCTAGACTAAGGATGATTGGTCACATTCAGATATTCAGGGGTTTCATGACATCAATGAAAAATACCATTTATTTGGCAAATTAAAAATTTTTTTTCAACTAAATTAAGCAGATCTCTATGCAGTTACCTCCAATCCATTCGGCTATCCCCAATCTTGAATGCTGAAATAGTATGAAATAAATGAGAAATTTATATGAAACATGAAACAAATAGCAGAACCATTTATCTTGTCAAAATTTATCTTTGGATTGGGGCGCCTGGGTGGCTCAGTTGGTTAAGCGACTGCCTTCGGCTCAGGTCATGATCCTGGAGTCCCGGGATCGAGTGCCGCATCGGGCTCCCTGCTCGGCAGGGAGTCTGCTTCTCCCTCTGACCCTCCTCCCTCTCATGCTCTCTGTCTCTCATTCTCTCTCTCTCAAACAAATAAATAAAATCTTTAAAAATAAATAAATAAATAAATTTATCTTTGGATTGTATAAGTTTCCTCTTGTGAAAACCTTTATTGTTGTATTTTATAGATTTTTTCATAATTACATTTTAGAGCTATTGTTTAAAAATGCAAGAAAGTATTAGAGAAAATAGGTAGTTAGCTTTGGATCTGTTGGTCAGTGATAAAATAATTTGCTCTGTAAGGTTAACTTTAGTGATGATAGCTTTTGAACTCATTCACTTATTTCTAAATAATTATAATAATTCTGTCTTTCATGTATTCATATTGGTTCATATGATATTTCCAAATACTCAGCTGGTTTTGACCAGAGTCCATAGCTAAGGGGAAAAAAAAGTAGCTTTAGTGAGTCACGTGGACCTCCAAACTCATGCGATTCAGGAATGATGAGCAAGTGAAACCCTTTGCTGGTTCTCAAGTGTTAGTGACCCTAAGAATCACCTGCAGGCCCCGCCCTCAGAGATTTTGACTCAGCAGCTCTGGGGTAGGACCTAGAATGTGCATTTCTAACAAGGTCCCAGGTGATGTTGACACCTTGGACCTGGGAGCCTCACCTTGAGAGCCATTGTTATAGACCATCCTTTGACAAAATTTGGCTGTGAAGGGAGAGTGGGCAGTAAACAGTGAGAAGAGCAAGACTGAGTAAAGGGGTCCTTACTAAGATCATGCTTGGTTTAGGAATAGCCCAAACTTTGCTTATAAACCATTTTCCCTTCCACCTGGGGTCTTACCTGCTGTCTCAGGTCCTTGGCCATCTATTTCTGTTTTGTCAATTTTTATTATTTTAGGGTCATACAGTTTCTCAGATCCTGATGTAGCTGTGTCAGTTTGTTGGAATGAGGGTTAATAATTCTATCTTAAATCTAAATATTTCTTTTTTTTTTTTTTAAAGATTTTATTTATTTATTTGAGAGAGAGAATGAGACAGAGAGAGAAAGCATGAGAGGGGGGCGGGTCAGAGGGAGAAGCAGACTCCCCGCTGAGCAGGGAGCCCGATGCGAGACTCGATCCCGGGACTCCAGGATCATGACCTGAGCCAAAGGCAGTCACTTAACCAATTGAGCCACCCAGGCGCCCCAGATCTAAATATTTCTAAAGCATGACTAAACGTTTGTGAAAGCTGACTTAATGGTGATAGATAAATCCATTTATCTCCATAGTTTAACATAGGAAGTGGTAGTATTTTGTGTGTTAACATGAGCCATGTTTTGTAGCTACACTTTGTGATAAAATGGGTAATGGTTGAGTATCTTTGTTTCTTTTGTTACAGAATCTGTTCCCAGCTATACCACCAAAGTATCTTTTAGCCTTCAGCTTTGATGCCATCCATTAGAAGACTGCAGAATCTCCCTGTGCTGTGGAGCTATAAATCTTGGTGTTGTGGAATAATGGTTTGCGCTTAAGGACAAAGTCTAGAAACCACAGTCATAGTTAGGGAAAATGATTTTCAGATTTCACATTTGCAAATAGTTCTCTCTGTGGACTGGAGAATTGATAAGTGGGTTTATATATAAAAGTTCATTTGCATATACTTGTTTCCAAAGAATGCACATTTAATATTTTAGAAAATGTGTTATTTTTTAAAATTATAACTTAGAGACCAAAATCTGAAGTTGATTACACTGTTTTTAGGAATCCAGGGATAAAGGGATTGTAAAAAGAGCATTTATATGGGGCTAGCCAAATGAGATTTTATTTTATTTTGAAAGAGTTTTAATGAATTATTTCTTTTACTAAGAAAAGCTTTCCTTGGGTTTATACAAACTGCTGTTTTCATATATTTTAATTGTATTTTGTAAGACTTTAGGTATAATTTGGGCATTGAAGGTAGAAAGAAGAGCTGGATTGTCTGCCCATGCATTGGGCGCAGGATACTCAGATGGTGCGCTGGGAGTCCTCACAGAGGCATAGTGGTCGTGGCTGGTCCTGGGAAGCCTTACGTGGCCTGCATGGATGGTCCTCCTGTTCTGAGTGGGTACCTCGGGGGTCCCAGGATGCACCTTAGAGCAGGGAGTAGAGGCAGTACCCTTAGGGACTCCTCCTCCTCCAAGGTGGCTTTACAAGGTAGCAGGGATGACTACTTGTCCATTACGGATGAGGAGTGCCTAGGAAAGCTTTCCTGACAGGTGCTACAGGAAAACTCTGCCCAGGCCACAATGCTGCAGTCCACAGGGAGCTCATGAGACTGTTTTTTTGTTGGCAAGGATGGGATTCATGATAAGGCTTTGGACTCTTACACCACATCATATGATTTGGAGAAATTGTACAAATATCTATTTTTATACCACTATTTTGAGCTAAAGGAAACAGGACTGTGAGTTGAAGATAAGCTTTAACAAGTAGCTTTTATGACTAAGAAGGAAAAAGTGCATATATTTACGTATACTCCTATATGAATCGACTCCTACATGGTCTAGTTCAGTGCCATCCAATAGAATTTTCTGCAGTGATGGAAATGTTCTTTAACTGTGCTGTCCAAATGTAGTGACCATTAGACACATGTGGTTTTGACTACTTGAATAATGCCTGGTATAAGTGAAGAACTTTTAATTAATTAAGGATTTTTAATTAAATTTAAATTTAGATTGCCACAGGTGGCTGCCATATTGGACACACAAGTCTAGCCAGTTGGGTTTTTTGGAAGAAAGGAAGAGTGATTTTTATTTTCTCTTATCTGAAGAACAGTCTGTCCCCAGAGGGGCCCCTATTGACACCCTCCATATTTTGTCTTGATAGATTTATTCATAATTCCCAGTGTTTTATCCTCAACAGATGCAAAAAAGGCAGAACATTCTAAAACCATATGGTAATGCTTCAGCGGAGGATTGCTTCAAGTTAAAAACAAACTCTGAGAAGTAGGTTAAGAGATGAAAAGAGTAGGAAAATGAGAAATCACTTCAATTGAACCTCAAACAATTGCATTTTTCTTTTTAGCTCCTCAAAAATGGAATTGAAATTTATTAGTTGTACTACTTGAATGATTTTGAAATTTCATTTCATGCCAAGGTATATATTATATATAGCCAAATGGAAAATAAATCTTAAAAGGGGGCAAATAGGGGCTTTCACACAAATTGTCCATGAATAATGTAAAATTTGTTTCAATAAAACCAGTCTTTTGTGCAAAAACCTCGTTTTGGTGCTACATATAAACAAAGGAAAAAGTATTGCAAAGTATATAATACATAATTGTTTCATGTTACATTATATCCCATACCAAATATATTGTTTGAATATAACATTTGTAGAGATATTATTTAATTTATTCATGTAAATGTAAAAATGCAGCACGATTATAGGGCATCTCAGTGGAAATATCATAGAGATTTGAAAATTTTACATGATGCATATGGACTGATTCATAATTTGGAAAAGGAATTTCCATAGCAGGATATATGTATGAGCATTAAAGCAATATGAATAAAAGAATAAAATGTAATTCCTAGAAGAAAAATGTTCTGGTTCCAAAAGCTTATTATTATACCCATTTTTCAGATGTTGGATTTTTAAGGGGCAGAGACACAGGTGAAATCATCGAGTAGTACATTTTAATTACCAGCAAGGACCACACCACATTTCTTAACTGGAGCTTTCTAGAATGACCATTAGGCATGCTTGCCAAACACCAGTTTAGGGTAACTTAATGATGATGGCAAACAGTAACCTCCAGAAATCATTTACTGTCTTTCCTTCTTTGTGTCCCTTCTTTCTCACCTCAATGCCATCTCTTGAATCTCTCACTACTCCTGAGTGGGAAGGAAGCCTACTTTGAGGTGTTGTGTTGTGGTGGGTGTAGGTTTATGCGATTCTCATTTCCCACGTCCTGATTCATAGGGGCACCAATTTGCCTAGCTTCTCCCACCCTACTTGTCGGTAGCAGTATGTGTTATTAGAGTAACTTTTGATCATGTAATAACATTTCTTGGAATTTTAAAGAACTTTCCAATTCTTTCCCGAAATTAAAGTTCTGGACTCCAGTCTTCATTGAGTTCACAAATGGTTCAACATCCACTTCCCTTAATGTCCCAATGATCTAAATTCCATTTTCTAGTTTGTTTTCCTTATTGACATACTCCAAATCATTCCACCCATCCTTGCCTATCTTTGAATACTGTAGAGTCTGTCTGGAGATATCAACAGATGTTTCGAATCTCCCTGTATTTGCCATCTCTTTATTGTGCAAATGTGCACGCACGCACGCATGCACACGCATTCCAGTCTTTTCTGGAAGCTGATCGGCACTGGGACTCGGGGAGCCAGGATTGCAAGTCCAGCTCTTTTACTAACGCACCGTATAATCTTGGGAAAATCACTTCACCTTTTACCTACCTGTAAAAAATAGAGCTGGAGAAGACATTTCTAAGGCTGATTCTTTTTTTTTTTTTAAAGATTTTATTTATTTATTTGACAGAGACAGAGACAGCGAGAGCAGGAACACAGCAGGGGGAGTGGGAGAGGGAGAAGCAGGCTTCCCACTGAGCAGGGACTGATGTGGGACTCGATCCCAAGACTCTGGGATCACGACCTGAGCCGAGGCAGTCGCTTAACGACTGAGCCACCCAGGCGCCCAAGGCTGATTCTATCTTTAACATTTTATGACTTGTCTTCTACTAAGAACCCCTTTTTATATTAACAACCCAGCGTGTCCTCCCTACCTCACTGGTCACTCGGCTTCCAGCTCCTTATGGGCTGCTGGGCACCCTTGTTCTTTAGGCATGTGTTTGAAACTATCTTGTCCACTATTAAATGTTAAGTTTCTGGAGTTTGCTAAATAGATAGACAGACTGCGCCCAATATTAGAAAACGAATAGCAAATCTGTGAAGAATTTACCCACACATTTCTCTTGTGTTCCCAATACTTCCATCTGTGCTGAGATGTACAAATATTATTTCAGATATTGCCTCAAAAGAGGAAGTGTGCATCATAAAGAATTGCATTTTCTAGATATCCAAATCAAAGATACAGTGAGGTATCACCTCACACCCTTTGGTGTAGCTATTATTAAAACAAAAAACCCCAGAAAATAATTGTTGGTGAGGATATGGAGAAATTGGAACCCTTGTCCCTGTTGGTGGGAGTATAAGATGATGCAATTGCTATGGAAAATAGCATGGCAGTTCCTCCAAAAATTAAAAGTAGAATCACCATATGGTCCAGCAATTCGACTTCTGAGTTTGTTGAAAGTAGGGTCTCAAAGAGCTAATGGTACACCTGTGTTCCTAGCGGTACTAGTCATAATAGCCAAGAGCAGGAAGCCTCCCAGATGTCTACAGATGGGTAGACAAAATGTGGTAGATACATACCATGGGATGTTCTTCAGTCTTAAAAAGGAAGGAACTCCCATCACACGCTACAACATGAATGAAACTTGAGGACATTATGCTAAGTGAAATAAACTAGTGACAAAAAGACAAATACTGTATGAGTCCACCTCTATGAGGTCCTCAGGGTAGTCCTATCCATACAGACAGAAAGAAGAATGGGCATTAGTAGGGAGGAGGGGGAGGGAGAAAATGCGAGTTGTTTAATGGGTATAGAGTTTCAATTCTGAAAATGAAAAAGTGAAAAGTCAATGAGAAACTGAGCGCGCACTCCAGATGGGTGTATATTTATTTAATTACACATTGTGTCACAATACCATTTTACTAGTACAGTAACGCACATTATAAACTGTGCAACAAGAAACAGTAAAGTACAAAGAAACATGAAATAGAGTTTGAAGGCTATCTCCCCGATGTGGGTGGATGGTCCTGCCGCAGCCCTGAGCTGCACGGACCCTGCTGTGGAGAACACTGCTTTGAGACCCAGGCTTTCAACCTAATGAAAACCATGGCAAATGCTTCCACAGGCTGACGTCACTGGGTCTGTGCAAGCTTCTGTGGGGAGAGAGGATCCACAGGTCTCGTGAGATTTCCAAATAGTTCTGTGAGCCATAAAGGCTTCGGTCTCAGTTCTCCCGAGAATGAGCAGAATGTCAGCGTCCTTTACACATTGAATTGAAATTAACATTAACCCTTAAAAATCACATGAAATCAACCACTTTAAAATGAACAATTCAATGGCATTTACTGCATTCACAGTATTGTACAACCACCCCCTCCAACTTGTGCCAAACATTTTCATCACCACCCACCCTCTGCCCACAAAAAGCCCCATACCGATTAATGCCCTTCCCCGCAGCCCCTGGCAGTCACCAGGCTACTTCCTGTCTCTGGATTTACCTCTTCTGCGTATTTCCTATCCGTGGGACAGTACTACATGACTGAACCTGGCATCATGTGGAGGTCCACTGAATGGTCTCTACGATAATCACCACGACAATGATCAGAATGAAAAAACAGCAGCAAGCATTAAAGTTCCTGCACCTGAGATTCTGGACTGGGTGGGAACAGGGTACCTCACTGCAGGTGCTGACCTGGATTCTCCTCTCCACGTGGTGGTGGGTGTTTGGTCTCGGGCTCCAGTGGGTGGGGAGGATCGCAGCCTTTGTGGACACAGTATACCAGGGTTGGGGTAAAGCCTTTCCCTTGTTTCCCATGGCGTTCTCCTTCACCGCGTCCGCTCTGGTGTTCCCCTTCCCTGCGTCCACTGGGGCGCCACTCCTAGTGGGAGAGGGCATGGGGATGGCGGTCCCAAGGGCAGGTGAGCTAACGGCAGGAAGTGACGGCAACCCTGGTGACTGCAGGGCCTCACCTGACCCACTCTGAGCACAAAAGCCCGACAGACATGCCTCGCAGTTGTTACTGTCATGCGGCCCTTCAAGAGAGATTTCCTTGATGGTAGGTATCGTCTCCATGGACCTAAATCCTTCTCTGTAGCATTTCTTCAGAATTCGGAACACCAGGTTGTTCAGGATCCTTGAGATGTTCTCTTTTGTGAACTCAGGAACCTCAAATGGAGACTGATCGCACCTCTGACATCTCTGGGCAAAGACCCTCATCTTCACCTTGCCCCTGGGTTCCCCCCCACTCTTGTGCATGTGGAAAAGGACCTGAACTTGAGCAGAGGCCCAACTGCGAGAGCACAGGGAGCACTGGAACCTGCGGGGACAGAAGACGAGACCCTCAGCTTGGCCCAGGATGGCCGAGTTGTGGGCTGGGCCGGAGGGAGGAAGGGGCGCCCAACCACACAGAGACGTGACTTGACTGGGGTCGAGGTTAGTGGGGGAAGAAATTAGCGAGCCCCTGTCTCCCCTGTGCCACCAACGTGCCCGGTGACCCACAGGTGTCTGTCATGAAAATAGCAGATCACAAGCTGTTGGTGCTGGAAGGGACCTTCTAAGTCCTACACGATGGTTCTAGAGATGCGGCGCGTGCTGGAAGCCATCATGTGCAGAGACTTGGTGGGTGTAAGAAGCAGGACTAGACCTCAGGCCTCCTAACCCCAAACCAAGGCTTCTTCAAATGTAGATTGAAGTGGGTCAGAGGCTACAGGGGCAACAGCAGCTTAAATCATCCCCCAAGAGCTCCGAACTGAAACCCACAGGTGGTACAAGGGGGTGTTGGTAGGTGCTACCATCTGAAAGTTTGTGTTTCCCCCCAAATTCACATATCGGAATCCGAACCTCCAAAGGTGATGATGTTAGAAGGCCTTTGGGAGGTGCTTAGGTCATGAGGGTGGAGCCCATGTGAATGTGATTAGTACCCTTATCAAAGAGATCCCATAGAGCCCCCTAGCTCCTTCCACCATGTGAGGATACAGGAGAATTCCACAACCCAGAAGAGGGCTTTCACCAGACTAGCTGGCACCCTGATCTTGGACTTCCAGCCTCTAGAACTATGAGCAATACATTTCTGTTGTGTATAAGCTGTCCAGTCTGGTGTATTTTTTTTTTTAATTTCATTTCATTTTATCTTATTTATTTTATTGCCACCCAAACAGACTAAGACAGTAAGTCGTAGAGCCACAGATCAGGGCAAGTCTAGTGTCTAGAGGAAAAGCATTGCTTTGCCCTGTTGCCCAGGGGCCCCCAATATCCCAGTATTTTAGGGAGATCACTGTGTCCAGCTTTCTCTCCTTTTGCTCCGCCTCCAACCCAATTCATTGCTCAAGGTAGCCTGGAAAACTTCATATTCTGTGTGCACCTAGCCTCAGGGTACAAGGGAATGATACCTCATCTCTGCAGGGAAGAGGGCAATTTCCTGAGCTCACATATTTGGACAAATATATGTCAGGATATGATGGAGAGAGGGGAAGAAGGCACACAAGAACATGGCTGCACCCAGGACAGGAATTATGGGAGAGGCAGAAGCTACAGTATGGCAGGGACAAATTATCCATGCACTCCCACCCACTTCCCAACCCCCTCGCAGTTAGGTTGGGCAATGTGACTGGTTGCCCAATGGGATGTGGGAAGTGACGTGTTATTTCCAGATCTGGCACAGAAGCTCTTGGAAAACCCTCCAGCTCCTCTTCCTCTGCCTCGGTGACATGGGGACCACGTGTGAGGTCAAATCATTGATATTTCGAGGTTTATCTGTTCTAGCAGCCAAGCCTCGACTAATCTGGGATGGTGAATTGGAGGGGGCTGGGAAGAATGAGCCAGTCAAGGTTTCCTTCTTGTGTTTTGATTCTGGCCGCACCTCACAGGGTGAACATGGCCATGAAATGAAGGGAAGAGGCCAAGAGGTTCTGACCACCATGAGTGAGATGGCCTTACTGGGGTCATTCAGAGTCAGTGGTGCACAGGGCCCTGGGCTCTGCTCTCCTGAGCTGCTTCCCCTGGCCCTCCCTCTGGGTCATATTGCTCTGTTCATTGCCAGCTCAGAGTTCAAGGTTCTCACAAAAGAAGGGGGGGACTGAGATTTTGCTTGGACGCTCCTGGTGCCAGCTCCTGGCCCAGGAAAGCCATGGGCCACAAGGAGAGGAGACCTCTGCTTCCTCTGCCCAGACCCTCCCCCAGAGAGGAGGGCAGTGGGCAGGCACCGAGGCCCTGCCCCAGTCCCAGGAGAGAGTCTCAGGCCCCCACCCTCTGTGCAGGAAGGCAGCCCCACCCCCTGACCCTTGGGGCTCTGCTTTCCCACCTGGGAAAAAGAGTAAGGCTTTGGATGACTTCCAAGAGTCTTAGTTTAAAAGGATCCATCAGCCCAGAGCAGAGGGAGCAAGACTGCTGCATGTTGCTCAACCACCCTAACCTCTGCCCTCTCCTGGAGGGGCCTCCTCAGCCCACGGGACCTCTCCCTCCTGGGCTCCATAGTGAGCCCCAGGTCCTCCGAGGCAGGAACTTTGCCTACCCAGCTCTCCTTCAGCTGCTCCCCTTCCCTCTTCCTCACTGCTCCCCCCCAACCCCTATGCAGCCCACACCAGTGCCCAGTCCTGCTACTGTTTGGGGTTCACTGTGATAAAGAAAAAAACCCTTTACCAAAGCTAAAATGTCTTGCATGATGGGCACCGTACTTCCGGTAGTCTTCCATGCACAAGCATGGGATAAAACAAGAAAAGGAGCAAGGATACACAGTAACGAATTTTCTGGAATACATACCATCCCTTTCCCCACTCACCTGGCAAAAGCCCTCTGCTGGTACTGTAACCATCCTGGCTTCAGGCTGTTGGGAAGAAGGTCTTTGTCTACTGTCAGGGTCCATTTGTGCCATGGCTTCACTTCCTGAATTAATTCCTGGAACACTTGCTTCCATAGCTCCATGTCCTGACTCGTCGTATGCTATGTGGTGAGCTGCATGCATCGGGATCTCCTGGAGACTCTGATGGGTCTGTAGCAGAACATGAGGTTTCCTGCTTTAAAGAACAGGGACTGGGACCTGCTCTCCCTTTGTGTACCTGACCTGGGCCCATGGACCAGGCCTTTGCCTCAGGGACAAAGGTCAGTTGAATCTGGCTCCCAGTTCAGAGGACAGTGCTAGCCTCCTCCACAGGGAATTTCCAAAGACACAGAATGCATGGTTTCATCCAACAAAATATGACCACGGGACAGCCCCAGACTCTGGATTGGGTCTCAGGAGTGGATCTCAGTCCGGCTCTGCTGATTACCTGCCTTTAACCTGGAATACATCCTTTACCTCTGAAGCCTCTGGAAATGGTGGAGAGAGGTTGCAGGTGCTTTTTCTGTTCTAACACTTGGAAATCCTTATCCACTGGGCTGCTGTGCTCATGACTGGGGAGGAGAGATGCAGATGCAAAGAAGGACAGGGCCATCGTGGGCCCTCCCTGCTCCCTGCGTCCCTGCCCTGGGCTCTCTGCTTCCCGTTCAAGCGGGTCTCTGTATGACTGGATCTTACAGCCCCCAAGCTGTCCAAGGAGACTCCTGAACCTTGTCCTCCACCCATTAGAAACCAAAGCTGACACAGCCCGAGTGCCCGGATGAGGCTGCAAGGTCAGTCCCCACGTGGGTGAGCAGCCAGTGGCCACACCTGAATCCACTTCCTTGAGGAGAGGCTTGAAAAGGAAGGAGAGAGGAGCAGGGGGCAGGCAACGGCCCGGGGAGGGTGGGCAAGATTCTGGGTGTCTGCATGCCACGACCCCCTCCGCAGACAGCCTGCCACTGACCTGCGCCCCTGACCAACTGCTGCCCAAGAGGAAAGCCCCACCCTCGGCGGCCCGCTGCCCTGGCATCCCCCCAGCCGCCTCCGTGCCTCTCGGGCCACTCTCCATGCTGCAGCTGGGGCAGGGGTTTCTTTCCAGAGGTGGAAGCCCCCACCCGCAAGCTGCATGTTCGCATGGCATTTGGACCCTCACAGGCCACCCCTGCCTTCTACCAGCCTCAGCCCTGCCCAGCTGATCTTCCCCCAAGCCCATATCCGCCCCTACACCCTAAGCCACAGCCCCTCGCTCCATGCCATCCTCTTAGACTCCTGCTGTCCCAGCCCTGCACCCTGTGCTCACAGCCACCCCAAGGAGGAGAGCCCCTGCCTTTGCTCCCAGGGCTCCTGCCCAGGTTCCAGGGCCCAACAGCGCATGCTCCATGTTGCACATCCCCCTGAGCTGGCCGCACCAGCCTCCTAGCTGCACCCGGAAAGAAATCTCAGCCAGGTGAGCAAGCTTGCTCCCTCCCCACCCGTGGTTGTACAAATGCCAATGCTCTTCTGCATCGCAGAGCTGGTTCAGAGCAAGTGGAGAGCAGAGGGTGTTGAGACAAGAGCCTGTCTTACTTTCTGGCCTGGTATGAGATCTTATGTGAAAATGTCATAGGCAGTTCTGCGTTGTTAAAACCACCCTTGGCAGGGCGCCTGGGTGGCTCAGTCCGTTGAACCTCGGACTCTTTGGTTTCGGTTCAGGTCATGATCTTAGGGTTTTGAGATCCAACCCCGTGTCAGGCTCCGTGCTCAGCACGGAGTCAGCTTCAGATTCTCTCCCCCCTGCCCTTTCCTCCACTTGCGCTCTCTCTCTCTAAAATAAACAAACAAATAAAATCTTAAAGAAAAAAACCAACCCTTGAAAGCAAGTGTGCAAGGGGATCCTTGAAGATCCCCAGATAGCTCAGTGTTTCTTTGTCATGTAAAGGTTACTTTTAGCCCCTCGCTCTACTAAGAATATTCTAATTGGAAGACTCTGCCTTCTTAAATGATAGAAGTATTTGAACGCAAGCATTAAAGAATGTGAGAAGGTTTGTCACATTTAAATTAACATAGGCTAGGGTCGTTTGGGTGGCTCAGTGGGTTAAGCGATAGACTCTTGATTCTGGCTCATGTCATGATCTCAGGGTTGAGAGATCAAGCCCTCCATTGGAATCTGCCCTGGGCCATGGAGCCTGCTTCAGATTCTCTCCCTCCCTCGCCCCCTATCCCTCCCCGCTCTAAGAGATTAATTAATTAATTAACATAGGCTAAATGTGTTCCCTCTAACTATCATAAGTAACATCATTTACCTGATCTTCCAGAGAATTCTTGGTTTCTGGGGTGGGGGCGGGGATGCCAAGGCCTAGGAAATAGCACAGGAGCTCAGCAGGGCTGAAGATAGCTGGAGATTCGTATTCCTCAGACCAGCCATGGAGTTCTCATTGAATTGGTCTGGGCGTCAGATCTCTTAAAAATTCCTCAAGTGATTCCAAGGCCGGGTTATTGTGGTCACCACTCCAGGAGGCTGAAGGGAAGGACAAGGTGGGCAGGTCCTAGTCAGCAATCACAGACCCAGAGCCAGGGGGGTCCCTCCCCTGCAGCGCTGTGGTGGGATCAGCAAAGCTTACAGACGCTGTTTTGGGGGAAGTGGTTCTAGGGCTGCCCAGTCGCCTCCACCAGCTGGGTCGGACACTGGCGGTCTAGGCAGTGGGCTCCCAGAGGAGGAGAGGGGGTGGATGGGGTGGGAGAGAGGAAGGGGAGGGAGGGAGGAAAAGGAAAGTTTGGGTGGGGTGAGGAGGGAGGGGTTTCCTGGAGCCTCCCGGGCAAGCTCCTTCCTGGCCTCACTGCACCTCCAGAGGAGATTTATAAAGGGGGTGAGGGGACAAGGGACAGAATGGAGCTGGAGGTCAGGGGGTCTTTGGTCTGGGGCTCTGACCTGCTGTGTGACAGTGGGCAAGTCATTTCAGGCCTTTTGAAGATGAAATGCCACGTTTTATGCAGAGGGCTACTAGGCATGCCTGGTGCCGAGAAGGGCCTGGAAGGAAGCCAACACTGGTCCCTGAAGCTTGACAAAAACAATTCCTAGGACCTCACTTGGAACAGTGACTCTCACAGAAACCCCTGCACTCTGGAAATGGGAATTTACGTGCAGACAGACAAGCTCTCCTCACTGCCTCTACCTAGCCAGGGTTCTGTCTCTCCCTTCCTGGTGGGCAATGGCCGCGGCACGGCCCTCCTCATACCCAGCTTCTAACCCAGAGGCCATTCTCCTCGCAACAGGGTCAGGGACACTTGCTGTCACTCTTTCTGAACACTGGCTGGGGTCTGGCTGTGCCGCGGGGGGGTTGGGGGGGTAGGGGGGCCTTGTGTGAAAGCTTGGGACAGGCCCAGCTGAGCTTGGACAACACTCTGCCTTCTCGTTTCAGCTCCTGTGCTGAAAACAAGTGTCCTTTTCAGGTCTATTTGTGCAATGTGTGTCAGATTTTTTTGTGTTTTTTGTTGGCGATCTTGTTGTTTCAAGGGGCCCCGAAGCCTAGTGCTAGGTCTAGGGTGCCTAGTGGTGAGGAGGCTGGGATGTGCCTTCCGGAGAGAATGTGCGTTCGATAAGCTTCATTCAGGCATGAGTTCTAGTGCTGCTGCCTGCAAGTTCAATGTTAATACATGAACATGACTTACTACATAAGGTGTCTTTAAACAGAAACAACACAAGGTTATGGATTGCTCAGCTGACCAAAAGCTAGAGGCTGGCAGGAACTAAGTCTGCATTTCCCCGGGGAGCGATGGTTCAGTATTTTGCTATTTCAGTGTTCTTGGCAACTTTATGGACCATAACTGCAAATCATGAGAGGGGGCTGCATTTTCCTTTGTCTACCCTGTGGTTTATCTTCCCTCCCATCCTTCCATGGGGAGAACTGGCTTGGTGAAACTAAACCACTTCTGAGCCTTGCCCTCACCTGTTACCCAGTTTTTGTTCAGAAAGTGCTAATGACTAGTGCAGTTAGCTCTAGTATTAGACCCTGCCAGATCTCCAGGCCGTCTGCTAGCCCCTGTCTTGTCTGTGACCCAGAGATCGAAGTGTCATTCCTTTCCCAGCCAGCCTTCTGGATGGGTGGTTATCACTGATTGAACGCACCGGGAACTGTAAATCCAGCCATTTCAGACTGCAATTTCTTTTTGCTCCCATGTACCAAATTGCCTGGACCCTGGGGAGTGGTGGATATATTCCAGGAAAACAAGTCCGCTCCATCCTCAGCTCAGTGCTTTCCAAGTCCTGTGCCAAAGGCAGTCTGGCCCCTTCTGGCAGTCCCTTATCATCCCTTTCCCCTGTGGTGCTCCCGGGTCTCTCCCAGCAGTGAGAGCTGATATAGAGAATGAAGCTGATATAGAGAATGAAGAGGTTCCCGGACTCAGTCCTGTGGTGTTCCATCGTGTAGAAATTGGGAAGAGGAGGATGATCCAAAAAATGAGATGTCATGTTTCTGCAGTCTCTGCATCAATCCAACAGGAAAGAAATCATCTGTGTGACGCCATGAGGTGCCGACAGACACCACTAGGAGCCTCAATCACTCATTCACTGTGTGTTGAGGAAAAGACAACAACAGACATCATTAGGATGTTCCTCCATTTATTCAAAAAATATTAGTGTCAGTTTCTGTGCTCCAGACACTAGGGCTACGGCGGCAAGTAAAACAAAGAGTACCCTCACAGAGCTTATGTTTGATTCAGCTGGGGAGACAGACAATGACCCAATAAACAAGCAAAGGCTACCACGTGAGATGACATTCGAACCAAGACCTGTCTGAAGTGAAGGAATGGGCCAAGCATATATGGGGTAGAGGCACATTCAGATCAGAGGGGACAGCCCGTGTGAAAGCCCAGAGGTGGAAGTGGGTCTCGTGTGTCTGTGGAGGAGCAGGGAAACCAGGGTGGCCAGAATCAAGTGAGCGGAAAAGGAGTATATGAGGTTGGAGATGCAGCTGAGGGCTGCAGGGTCTTGTAGGATTTTATTCCTAGTGTGATGGGAAACCAGTGAAGAGTTTTGGGTACGAGAGTGAGAAGGTCTGATTTCACATTGTGTGATCTCTGCCGTCTGACCTGTCCACTCAGGCTCTCTGCTGTCTCTGCAATGAGCTAAGGACTGAATGGACGTGACTGGTGGGTCAAGAACAAAGCAGGGAGACCCACCAGAAGGCTGCTACCCACTGGGTAGACAAAGGAAAATGCAGTCCCCTCTCATGATTTGTACTTCCCTGATGCCGAGTGATGCTGAGGACTTTTTCATGTGTCTGTTGGCCATTTGGATGTCTTCTTTGCAGGAATGTCTGTTCATGTCTTCTGCCCATTTCTTGATTAGATTATTTGTTCTTTGGGTGTTCAGTTTGATAAGTTCTTTATAGATTTTGGATACTAGCCTTTTATCTGTTATGTCATTTGCAAATATCTTCTCCCATTCTGTCAGTTATCTTTTGGTTTTGTTGACTATTTCCTTTGCTGTGCAAAAGCTTTTTATCTTGATGAAGTCCCAATAGTTCATTTTTGTCCTTGCTTCCTTTGCCTTTGGCGATGTATCTAGGAAGAAGTTGCTGCGGCTGAGGTCGAAGAGGTTGCTGCCTGTGTTCTCCTCAAGGATTTAGATGGATTCCTGTCTCACATTTAGCTCTTTCATCCATTTTGAGTCTATTTTTGTGTGTGGTGTAAGGAAATGGTCCAGTTTCATTCTTCTGCATGTGGCTGTCCAATTTTCCCAACACCATTTGTTGAAGAGACTGTCTTTTTTCCATTGGACGTTCTTTCCTGCTTTGTCAAGGATTAGTTGACCATAGAGTTGAGGGTCCATTTCTGGGCTCTCTATTCTGTTCCACTGATCTATGTGTCTGTTTTTGTGCCAGTACCACACTGTCTTGATGATTACAGTTTTGTAATAGAGCTGGAAGTCCGGAATTGTGATGCCGCCCGCTTTGCTTTTTTTTTTCAACATTCCTCTGGCTATTCGGGGTCTTTTCTGGTTCCATACAAATTTTAGGATTATTTGTTCCATTTCTTTGAAAAAAGTTGATGGTATTTTGATAGAGATTGCATTAAATGTGTAGATTGCTCTAGGTAGCACAGACATGTTCACAATATTTGATCTTCCGATCCATGAGCATGGAACGTTTTTCCATTTCTTTGTGTCTTCCTCAATTTCTTTCATGAGTATTTTATAGTTTTCTGAGTACAGATCCTTTGCCTCTTTGGTTAGATTTATTCCTAGGTATCTTATGGTTTTGGGTGCAATTGTAAATGGGATCGACTCCTTAATTTCTCTTTCTTCTGTCTTGTTGTTGGTGTATAGAAATGCAACGGATTTCTGTGCATTGATTTTATATCCTGCCACTTTACTGAATTCCTGTATGAGTTCTAGCAGTTTTGGGGTGGAGTCTTTTGGGTTTCCCACATAAAATATCACATCATCTGCGAAGAGTGAGAGTTTGACTTCCTCTTTGCTGATTCGGATGTCTTTGATTTCTTTTTGTTGTCTGATTGCTGTGGCTAGGACTTCTAGTACTGTGTTGAATAGCAGTGGTGATAGTGGACATCCCTGCCGTGCTCCTGGCCTTAGGAGGAAAGCTCTCGGTTTGTCCCCATTGAGAATGGTATTCACTGTGGGCTTTTTGTAGATAGCTTTTATGATATTGAGATATGTACCCTCTTCCCTACACTGTGAAGACTTTTAATCAAGAAAGGATGCTGTACTTTGTCAAATGCTTTTTCTGCATCTATTGAGAGTATCACATGGTTCTTGTTCTTTCTTTTATTAATGTATTGTATCACATTGATTGATTTGCAGATGCTGAACCACACTTGCAGGCCAGGAATAAATCCTACTTGGTCGTGGTGAATAATCCCTTTCATGTACTGGTGGATCCTATTGGCTAGTATTTTGCTGAGAATTTTTGCATCCATGTTTATCAGGGATATTGGTCTGTAGTTCTCCTTTTTGATGGGGTCTTTGTCTGGTTTTGGGATCAAGGTAATGTTGGCCTCATAAAATGAGTTTGGAAGTTCTCCTTCCATTTCTTTCTTCTTCTTTTTTGTTTTTTTTGGGAACAGTTTCAGAAGAATAGGTATTAATTCTTTATTTTTACTTATTTATTTATTTTTAAAGATTTTATTTATTTGACAGAGAGCATGAGAGCAGGAACACAAGCAGGGGGGAGTGAGAGAGGGAGAAGCAGGCTTCCTGTGGAGCAGGGAGCGCGATGCAGGGCTCAAACCCAGGACCCTGGGATCATGACCTGAGAGAAAGGCAGACGCTTAATGACTGAGCCACCCAGGCGCCCCTAGGTATTAATTCTTTAAATGTTTGGTAGATCTCCCCTGGGAAGCCATCTGGCCCTGGGCTGTTGTTTGTTGGGAGAATAGTTATTGTTTTAAAAATACACATTTTTAGTAAACTGTCTCACATTGGTGCCCCACCCCGCCTCCCACCAGGCACCCACAAAGGGATGTTAGGAAGGCTGGTGCACAGAGGGCACCCTCAGCGGAGCACCAAGCAGCAAGGCAGCCGGGTCGCTGGCTTCTGGCTTCACGGATCCCAAGTGGGGTTGCCAGATGAAACACAGTTTTACTTGGATTTGAACTTCGGTTAAATTCCAATTTCAATAACAATGAATAATAAAGATTCTTAGCGAATTTTACACTACAATTAGTATCTTATACTAAAAGTTGATCCCTGCTCATCTGAAATTTGA